TCGTATTTGGTTTCGAATCCTGATTTTTCGGAGGAAGGTGACAAGAGCTCCGCGCCCTCTGGCTCGACTGGCAGTGCTGCCAGCGCTGGAGGGCAGGAGCATGCCCGCCCCACAGAGCCTGCTACTGCATCTGTTGCAAGCGTTCCTGTCTGCAGCGTTGCGCCCAGCTCTTCCTCGAGTGATGTGGTCGCCTCGGCCCCAGCCACCAGGGAGTGCTTGAGGCGCATTGCCGCTTCTCTCCGCTGCGAGGCGGACGATATGGGAACGGGTGGGGCTGTGGAGGCGGGGTCGGGGGATTCGGATTGACTTGCAGCGTTCTTGCCTGCCTTTTTCTTTTGGCAGGCGTGAACCCGTTTTCTTGTTCGTGTGGTTGCCGTCGCAGCCACCCCCTCTAATTTTGTTTCTGTTCTCAATCTTATCCTCGGCCGTGCTTTGCCTCCTTGGCCTTCAGGCTGTTGTGGCATAGGTTGCGGCTTCGCGATCTAAGCGGCGACCGCCTGTCCGCTCAGGATGCTCTCCGCGTTGCCGATCGTTTTTCCAGCTGAGGGTCAGCTGGTGCCTGTTTTTCACTTGTCATTCGCCACTAATGGCAGGTACGGCACTTGTGTGGCGAGTTGTTTTTTCTTGTGCACTGTCTCTGGCGTGTCTGCCAGACAGTGAGAGCCCGAGCCGAGGGTCGATCCGTGCGGGGAGGGGGCCATAGTGGGCGCTCCGAAAGGAACTCGCGAAGCCCCCTCCCCATAGCGGCTCTCGCCGAGGCGAGGTCTTCTCAGAGCTGGCAGGTCCCGCCTTGCCAGTTGCTTGCACTATGCGGTGGGCCCGTGGAGGTCAAAAAAAGAGCCGCTGCATGCCCTAAGAGCCTAACGCAACAAGAATCAGTGCAGGTCTATGCGCCCCTTGCGGCCCAGATGGCCACGTTGATAAACCCGCAACGGAGGGAGAGAGGAGAGGACAACTAAGCAGTAATACTATCATGCGCACGCCATCTCAGGCAGGCAAGCCGCCCCAGGTGCCCCACAACGAGATGCGGCGGCCAACTGGGCAGCTTTTGCACACCAGTTAGAAGCTAAGTAAGAGCCAAATGGGCCCTACCAGCAGACGCGGGAACGCGGGCCCAGAGCGGCACCTGAGAGAGGAGCGGCTCCGAGCGCCGGGCAACCAGAGGTCTGCCAGAATGCCCTGGCCGTGCAAGCGGCGCGACGGCGCTAATTGGAAATCCCTGGACACGACGAGGAAGAGAGGAAGCGGGGGGGAGGGAGACGGGAGTGCAACCGCGTGGTTGCCTCCCGAGTGCAGCCGAAATGCGGCCGCAGCTAGGTGGCCGGACGCCCTTCTCGCACCACGGCCGTACACTGAGCCCTATGGACTGCGCGAGCGCACACCCGCTACGCGAACGACTGACTCAAAGCGAGGACCCAAAAGCATCGCATGGCTGGTGAAATGCGCACACACAAAGAGTCTCCGCCGTCTCGCGACGGCCTGGGAGAGAAAAGTGGTTCAAATTTGTACCGACTGGTTTTCGAACATGTGACCCGGCACACAAGGAAAGCTGCCATCCTCGAACGCCGCTGGCGCCACTTGCTCTTCAAACGGCGTTCCTCTGGCAGGATGCCGCTGGTTTCAATCAGAGGCCGCTGCCTCAGGCACCGCCCCCACGGGGGGCCACAAGCCCAAAGGAGCCAGGGGCCGGAGGGGAAGGGGGACAAGCAAAGGCAGGAGGGAAAAAGAGGAAAAGGAAAAGGGGCAAGGGCAAAAGAGGAAAAGGGAAAGGGGCAAGGGCAGGAGAGGGGGGAGAGAGGCAAAGAGGAGAAGGGGAGGAGGAGGGGAGGAGCGACCCCTGGCCCCCCCGGGCGTGCGGCCCCCCAGGGGGCGGCTTGCGACTGGAGCCAGATGGCTGCCAGCCGCAGTGACGGAGCCCCTGTGGACCCCAGACGGGTCAATGATGACCGCGAGAAGCGACGGTCCGGAAGCTGGCTGCGACGGTCCCTGGTGCAAACCACGGCGGCGAAAGACGAAAAAATGCAACCCTGGGCGATTGCAAGCACAAGGGTGACGCCCAACCGGCAGCGGCGGCGGCAAAGAGGAGGAGAAGACGAGGGGAAGAGGAGGGGAAGAGGAGATATGGGCGCCGATCACTCAACTCCGAGGCTCACTGCCAGCGCGTGTCCAGCACCGCTGCGGCCCGGCGATGCCCTTGCACTGCTTCCCGGGCGGCTTGCTCCAACGCTCGACGCACTGTGGGTTCGCCTCTCAGGGCCGCCCGTGCACGACGGAACTTGCAGTGCAGCCGGCAAGCTGCAGCGATCCGCAAGGCCCCGAGCGTCAGTCGAGCATCCGTGAGCTCGGACTGCGGCTCAAGAAGCAAGAAGTTCAGTCGCCGCGCGTCGCGGTCTCGCCGGCACGGCAGCCGCAGGTGCCCAGCTCCGAACTCGGCAAGCACGCGGCACACCGTGGCGTGTTCCACAGAATCCCCACCCTCGAGACCGCAGAACAGGCATGC